CCGTCTTGCTGTGTTACCCAGTGAAGTTCCCTGGGGCTCTTCTGAGGTCTCGGGGCTCCTGGTCTGTGAGTGCTCTGCCCCCTTCCACCTGGGGCGGGGTGCCCCCCACCCCCCAGGGGCTCCGCCTGACGGTAATTTGTCCGCGGGCATGCCTAGGTGCCTGGGTCGGCACCAGGCACTTAGGCTGGCGGGTGTTGCATCGTCCTGAGGGGCGGGCTGGCTTTCTGGTGGTGAGGATGTATCCGTCTGATCAGGAAACATTCTCACCATCCCCGTGGTGGTTTTCAGTCTGGTCTGGGGGCCCACTGACCTTTAGGGCTGAGGGGCAGAGGGAGGCGGGCATAAGGCTTTATCTGCTGACATTTTCTCTGTGTTTGCATTTGAAGAAAAAGATCCTCAAGTTTAGAGATGTTAGGAACCCTTGGTGCAGCAACCCAAGGGCTGGCTTTCCTTTCCCAGGGCAGCGGTCAGCCTTTGGGACATGACGGTAGCTGTGTCGCCCTCTGTTACTCTGGCGGCTGTTTCCAGGGACTTGGAGGTGGGAGAGGCAGGCAGTGCAGCAAGGCTGCACGCACACCCCCCTGGGTGAATGGTAGGAGAGCACAGGGTGTGCCCTGGCCCGGGACAGAGCTGATGGGCCCAGCAGTGAGGCGGGGGTGGAGTGACCTCCCAGCTGCCTGCCGCCTCTCTGTTGTTGCTCCAGGGGCAGCTGGGTGGGGTGAGCAAATAGTCCCCGCTGGACACCTTTGTCCCCCGATGTCTGCTGGGTTCTGGGCTAGCCATCTCTTTGCTGTGCTCCCTGGGGATCTTGTGGCCAACAGGTGAGATGTGTGCGCGTCCCAGAAGGGACGCACTGAGGGGCACTTGGAGGGTGGGGGGAGCCTTGAAAGTTGGTCTCCACGAGTGAGATTCAGCACCAACGGCAGTAGACATGTGTTTTATTTCATTTAACATAGTTTAAGAAATTAGAGAAGACTACAGTTGTACAGAAGCAGAGAGACTAGCCGAACAGACCCCAACCTGGCCACCTCCAGCGCCCCGATTCTCACATGTGGCATGTTCATACCTCTGTCCGTCCATGGCTCACCCCGCCCGACGATTTTGAAGCCAGTCCCAGACATGATAAAAGGATAAGATTGCACTGATAGGTATTTCAGTATGTGTCGCTAAAAGATAGCAGCTTTTTTGAAAAATAACCACAGTATCATGGGACACCTACAAATATTTGACAGTAATTCCTTAATGCTGTGAGTTACCAATGGTTTGGATTAGTACTGTGGTGGGCGCACCCCTGCACCCCCACCTGCCCTCCTGTGTTACATACTTGAGGAGAGAAGGTTTAGGCGCATACATATTAAATGGACAACACTTCAGTGTCATGAGGCAGGGGCTTTATCACAGAGCTTTAGTAATGTAGGTTTAATAATAGCTTCATTGTGATGTGATTCACGTACCGTACAGTCGGACCACCTAAAGTGCGCACCTCTGGTTCTTAGTATATGCACAAATACATGCAGCCATCACCATAATTTTTGAACATTTCATCACCCCAAAAAAGAAACCCTCCTCTCTTTAGCCACCCCCACCTTCACCTCCCACCTGCTCCCCCTCTACTGCTGTCTCTGTGGATTAGCCCATTCTGGATGTTTCAAACAAACAGAACCACACAGAAGCTGGCTTTTGGTTCCTGGCTTCTTTCGCTTAATCTGATAAGTGAAAGAACGTTTTCAAGGCTCACCCATGTGGTAGCTTGTGTCCATGCTTGGTTCCTTTTTATGGCCAAATAACAGTCCCCCGGGTGGATGGACCACAGTTTATGTACCTGTTGGTTAGCGAAAGGACACTGGGACTATTTCCACTTTCTGGTTATTATGACTAATGCTGCAGTGAACACCCGTGTACAGGCTTGTGTACGGACCTCTGTGTTCTGTTCTCTTGGGCGTGCAGCTAGGAGTGACATTGCTGGGTGGTGTGGGGACTCCGTGCCAGACTTCTCCGGAGGAACTGTCACATCGTGCACCTCCTCCAGCAGTGCGTGGGGCCTCCGACCTCTCCGCATCCTTGCCAGCCCTTGTCAGCCAGCTTTTCAGCTGTAGCCATCCTAGTGGCGTGAAGGACGTTTTGCAGCAATTTTGATTTGCGTTTCCGTGGTGGCTACAGGAGGTGGTATTAATAATTATAAATGTTTTTCAGCACAAGGCTTATGGATGCCAGGATTGTAGGTGGAAGCTTTGCCCCTTAGATTTGCTCAGGGAGCTTTTAAGTGCTTGTCGCCTGGTTTACCGATGTCCGTTTACATCCTGAAGACGAAGAGGCTGGCTCAGGGCAGCTGTCTTGCTACTGCAAAAATAGAAAATCCAATTGTCCATTTTGGGGACATTTAGGACTCATATTTGGTTTTTAGTCTGAACCAATCAAAATAAGCAAATCCTTAGTTAAAGCCAGCGTTCTGTCAAGGCCATTGACTCTTGGGTAGGACACTGCAAATATGCGCAGCGCGTCTGCCTCTCCCTAGCAGAGGCTAGATTCCTGAGCAAACATTGGATACATAGCGCTGGATAGACTTGGCTGCAAACACTGTGTTTATATCTAATCTGCTGCCATTAGTGATCCCTTCGTGTTCTGTAGAAAGCCCTTGAAAGATCTCACAAGCCATTGAAAAGGTAGCCAACCAGGTAATTTTTTTGCCACGATGCATGTATGGCATTATCTCTGCCACTTTCTGCTCACTCTGAAGGGTCTGGTGGGGGTGAGGGTTAAGATCCAGAGCCGCCCAGAATCTGAGTGCTTTTGCCAACCTTCTGAATTATCTGTAGCAGGCATTGCTTAGAGATCTTGCGGCTTTCAAAAATGGGGTCTATTTCTTCCAAACTGGCCAGGCTGTGGAAGTTTGCTGCCTGCCTGCTGACTGAATGTACTGTGTAAATATTCTTGAATGCTCTGCAGATGCCCTAAGCTAAGGTCATAGTGAGTGCGGTGAAGTCTTGCCAGTTTGTTCTTTTCTTTCAAAACCATCAAAGCAGACTCCAGGTTCTATGCCAGTGCTTCCCAGGGGGTCTCATCTCTGCCACGGCAACATCGAATGTGGCATGTCCACACATGAATTCTTCACTCCGCCCCCGACCGTCCTCCCCACACGGACACGCCCCGGCTTCCGGGACCGGCCCCGCTGAGCAGGTGGTCAAGCTAGAAGCCCCGGAGTGCCTCTGAAGCCTGTCTGGAGTGGGTCGCCTTCCCTGTGCCCTGCTGCCCACTCTGGGCCACTCTTTCCTGGAAAACTGCCTCAGCTTCCTGCTGGTCTTGCTTGCCCACCCCACCCCTGCTGCATCGGGCAGTCAGTGGTCTTTAGAGCAGGAACAGTGGCCCAGACCCCTGCCTTAAAGCCCTTGGGTGCTTTTCCATTGTCCTTAACACCCAGCTGCCTCCCGTGGCTGCTCTGGGCCTTCTCTGAAGTTAGCTGCCTGCCCCTGACCCCAGCTACCCTGCCCTTGACCTCTGCCTACAGCCCTGTCCATAGCCTTTGAGGCCCGAAAGGCCTGCCCTCTGGCAACACTTCTGGGCTTCAGAGTCATCCGGGAGTGCCTCCTCTCCAGCACCCTGTCTTCTCTGGGCCTCCCTGTCTGAGCTGCAGGAAGACAGGGCACCTCTTTGGCTAGGGTCCCCATCTTCCCCAGGGCTGGCACATAGGAGGCAGCCAAATAGTTGTTGAACGAACGGGTGAATGGATGTTGGGTGCCTCTGAAGGGCCCACTAACGGAACCGCTGTTCTGATTAGCTGAGGACTAAGCTCAGTAGGCTCTTGTAGCTGGGAATCTCCAGAACCACACCACCCGTTAATTGACAGGTCCTACATCTGCACTCAGTAGGCCTAAATGGGTAAAAACAGGAAAAATAACATGTGATGGGAAAACACTCACACATGCAATTTTGGACTTTTGTTGTGGCTCTTGATAGTTTCTCTTTAGCTTCCTTTTATCCACGTGGTGCTCTGTGGCAGTTTCGCAAGAGATGGTGCCCTCGCTGGCCTTCACAGGTGGCCGAGGGGCTGGCCTGGGTGGGGAGGCCAGGAGGGACGAGGTGGTGGCTGCTGGGGCCAGTGGGTCAGGGCCTGCCTGCGGGGGAGGAAGCAGAGGCCAGGGATGGGGGGAGAGAGATGCATGGAGACTCCGAAGCAGAAGAGATGGAACGTGCTTTTGTCCCTGGGTGGGGGCGCTAGTGCAGAGGGTGGTATGTGCATGCGCCTATGTGGGTAAAAGCCCCAGTAGGTAACATCTGGCCCCTTGGGTGTGGACGCAAGTTTGATTTCAGTCACAGCCTCCAGAGGGAGGGTGCATTCTGCCCCGTGTGCACCCCCCCTGGGAGTGTGTAGCCCGTTCTCCTGGGATCTTACGCCTAGAATGGTCTCTCGGCACAGCAGCTGTGTGCACACTGGAGGCCATGCTCCCACCTGGAGATAAGGAGCGTCAGGGCCACGGTGGGCTTATTCGTGGACTCTCTGGGTTTCTGCTGTGCCAGCCTCTGGGCAGCTGGTAGGCAGGCAGGGGACATGCCTCTGCAGTGCACGGTGCCAAATAGCTACCAGCTTCTGAAGCCGGTTGGGTGTGACCTGGGCTGCCACCCAGAGGGATGATTCGGTGGGATGATTCGGTGGGATCATCCCGTCTTCAGGGGGAGGGTCTCCATGGGCTTGGAGCGTGGAGACCGGGGGCTGGGAGCCAGGAGTGAGGGTGTGCATGGGCCCGGAGGCCAGGCCAGGCCAGGGGTGAGGGCTCTACTCCTGGCTCTGCTGATCCCCCAGGGCTCCGAAGCAGAGGGCCCTGGTGGTCTGCACAGGGCTGGGCGGGTGGTGAGAGGGTGACACGTAATCCCAGCCCTGGCTCTTAATGAAAAATACAAGATCTCTTAGGTGAGGGGAAAAAACATTCAAAACAAGTCACACTGGTCTGGGTTGGTACCTGGTGAACCGCTCCGTGTGTCACATCTGCCCCTTCCCTTCCCAGGAGATCACTAGAGATGGCAGAAGCCCACCAAGCGGTGGCCTTTCAGTTCACAGTCACTCCAGACGGGATCGACCTGCGGCTGAGCCATGAAGCCCTCAAGCAGATCTATCTGTCTGGACTTCATTCCTGGAAAAAGAAGTTCATCCGATTCAAGGTTCTCAGATACTTTCTTAAATCTGTATAGTCTTCACCTGAACACCTGAGAACCGTTCTGTAGGTGCTGTTGAAATACAGGTGTTTCCGAGCGGCAGCTGGCACGTAAGGCTTAGGGAGCGCTCGCCCCTGGCGGCGAGCAGGGCAGGTAAGGAAGTCGGGGTCAGAGAGAGTAAGTGACCTGCGCTGCATAAGCGAAGACTGGACTCCGTGCCTCCTGCTCTGAGCCCAGAACCCTTCGCATCTCGCAGCAGCAGGATCGTTTTTCAGCTGTAGGAAACCTCAAGGAGTTTATTGGGCAGGTACCCCACTGATAAGATATTCAAACATTGAAAAATACGCACACACAGAGTTAGCTTCATGTGTTCTCAATTCAGTTTACCTAAGAGAGTGGAAATTCAGTTTTTAAGCACATGTCTTGTTTTTCCTTTTTGTAGTTTAGTTTATTTTGAAACTCACAGAAGGGATAAATAAATGCACATCTAAAAACGTTCCAACAAGATGAAAGGGCAGGGCTGCAGTGTGGGCGCCCCTGTCCCGTGGGGTGACTCCAGACAGTCTGTAGATTCATTTTCCGGTTTTCAGAGGGGGACAGTGGAGAAAGGTCCAGGAGTCAGGGTCGCCGAGAGGAGTGACCCCTGAGAAGGTGGGGGGGCCTCTGGGAGCTGCCTTCTGGGCACCTGCTGGGGTGGAGGAGGGCGCCACCTACAGGGGAAGGTGCTGACCCGCACGGCCCTTGCTCAGAACAACTCCTCTTTACCTTCAAATCAAGGACCATAGAAACCTGGGTACAAAGGAGTGGCCATCACTCACTCAGCCCAGTGGGAACATTGTCCTCTGATTGTAAAGACGTTGTAGACCTTCAGGAGGCGAGACTAACAGATATGAAAATACACGATAAACAGTGCATGACCGCATCTGCACAAATGGTTTAGGGGACTGCCTAATAGCTCTGAGGGGCCGGCAGTGGCTGCAGGGCACGGAGAGGCGCGATGAGCAGGAGACATTTTATCTAGACTCTCCCTGCATTTTAATTTAATGTATATATGTATGTATCTTCTTTTTTAAAAGAACACTTTTTATTTCAGAGGACACACACCCACTTTGTTGAAAATCTCTCTCTCTCTTACCCCTATAGACCCTGGGAAAACCATTAGGAGTAACACGTAGGGATGTGAGTGTCCCCTAAAAGAACTCAGATAAAGCTTGGAGAGGTTTTTCATCTGCTGTCTTGGTCAAATCAATTTCTTATTAATAGGTGGCTTTAGTAAGAATTTTTTTTATAGTTGGGAGTTTGAAAACAGGCACAAAAGTAAAGCAACTGAAGGACCACACTGCTTGCCTCCTGATTTCTGCAGCTGACATTTTACCAATTTTCTGTGTCCTCCTTATGCCCTCCTTCTGCTTTTCGGGTTTTTCTTGGGGAGTGGGGTGGAGGAGTTGGCTGTGGCGTCTTACAGCAAATTCTTGGCGTGGAGTGAGGTCTCCTGGGACTCCTTCGGGGTTCTCTGGTGTCTTGACTCAGGAGCAGCACGGGGGTGTTTTGGGGGCTTGAATCTCGGGTATCGTAGGGTAGCAGGGTGGGGCAGGACTCGGGGTTGGCTCAGTGACGTCCTCACCCCCAGGGTGTTGGGGGTCAGTCTGGGTGGCACTGGGGAATCTGGATGGTAAACTAGTGCTCTTCGACTGTCCTGGGGTCACTCCCAAGGACACTGTTTCAGGAAGGGTTTTGGCTCAGAGGTAGAGGGAGGGAAGGAGCTGGTCAAAAGCCTGGACAGCTCAGGGCTGGAAGCTCTGAGGAAGATTACCAGCAGTGACAGCCGGGTCACCAGCCACCCAAGTGCTGCACCCCCACCTCCTGCTGCCCGGCCTTACCGGCCCCCACCCCCTGGGGCGTGCTGCTCGGTGGGTGCAGCCGTTGCTCACGCACGTGTCTGCTTCTAGAATGGCATCATCACGGGCGTGTACCCGGCGAGCCCCTCCAGCTGGCTCATCGTGGTCGTGGGGGTGATGTCTACCATGTATGCCAAGGTCGACCCGTCGCTAGGGATCATTGCGAAGATCAATCGGACCCTTGACACCACGTAAGTAATGCTTTCAAACTGCCGAGAGTCTAGGAAGTTACCGACGTTTTTGTTGCTGATTTTTGTCAGCCCTTTCAAGTACGATGATGTTCCTGTTCTGGATTCAATTTGAGGCTTTTGCTGTCGTTCTCACGACGGCTTTCTCCCCAGTCCTGGACTGGTGTTAAGGACCCCAGGGAGTCTGCGGTCCCTTACAGAGCAGGGGCAGGGAGAAGGCCTTGGTGCCCGGGTGCCCGCCAGGGTGGGACTGGGCTCGAGGCGGAGGCCGGCACCCTCAGCCCCGCTGGCACAGCCGCAGAAGGCCTTCTGCTCCAGGAGCGGGGGGCGTGGCCCCTTGTTTGCACGGGAGTCCCTTCTGGGGCTCTGTGACCCTGAGCACTGTCTGCTGTGGGTGCTCGGGAAGCCCCCAGCCCCATATTCCCTGTCAGTGACCCAGGGGAACCCCAGCACTCCTGGGAGTTCTAGATTTTTCCAGGAGGCTTGAAAGTGGGCTCTCACACCGTGAGATTCGGCCTGGAAGAGCCTGTAGGCAGATACTTTCCTCAGAAGGTGCACGGGCCTGGGGTCTCGTGCGGGAATGTTGGACATGCCCCAGAGGGCCTCACAGGACCCCTGGAGTGTCATTTCTTCCCTCCAGGCCCAGCGGCCCTGACTCCCGTGCAGGCTCGCTGGCGGGTGGGACCCTGCACTGATCTCTCCCTGGAGTCTCTGTTGTAGAAGAGAAAACACTCAGAGATGTATATTCTTGCCCAGAGTGACAGAGAGGAAGTGGAGAGGCTGGAATTCAATCCCGGCTCTGCACCCCTCCAAAATCTGTGCTTTCTGCACTGTGCCCTGGGCCTCCCCTCAGAGGACCTTCCCGGCAAGCGCAGTCCGAGCACCACCACCTTCCGGCACCTGCGTGGCTGGGTGGCATAATGTGGGCCCTCTGTGTCCCACTCCTGACTGGCCTTTATTCTGCAGGACGCTTGTGTTTTCTGGTCGGGAGATGCTGCAAGGCCTCTGATGGGGTCACCACGGCCATCCCGTGCCAGACTTTCCATCCCGTTTCTGTGATCTGTTTATATCAACGAACATTTTATTCCTCTCCTAGAGAAATAATAGTATATATGTGTCTTTATTTCTGGTGATGTAGTACTTAGAAATCTAAAATGCAGGTTTACTGAAAGACAAGTTCTTAAATCCAGAAACCCAGGTTCACTTGTCGATTACACTATCAGAAAAAGATGTATAGGTTTAAAGTACAGACTATAGTTAAACTTGAACATAAGATTTGACAGGTTACAGAAAGGTATATGTTTTCAAGCAAAAGTATGTTGCTTTGAAGATAGTTGTCTTTCTGTTTCTTAAATATTTTAAGATGTTACGTTGGTGGGTTCTAAATTTTGGAGATACCTTTGCGTTCTATATATTGGTTGTTTTAGTAATTTGAAGCACACTTAAATCATTTTTTTCTTTTAAAAAAATCTAATTAATGTTTAACGTTGTATTGGTTTTAGGTGTACAACATAATGATTTGGCATATGTATATACTGCAAAATGATTACCACAGTTTAGTTAATGTTCATCACTATATATAGTTATAATTTTTTTCTTCAGATGAGAACTTTTATCATCTACTCTAGTAACAACTTTCAAATTTACAATACAATACTGTTAACTCTAGTCACCATGCTGTGAATTACGTTGCATGACTTAACTTATCTTGTAACTGAAGTTTGTACCTTTTGACCCCCTTCACCCATTTTACCCACTCCCCCACCTCCTTCATCTGGCAACCACCAGTCTGTTTTTTGTATGAGTTCAGATGTTTTTTAGATTCCACATTTAAGTGAGATCATACAGTATTGGTCTTTTTCTGACTTATTTCACTTGGCATAATGCCTTTAAAATCCGTCCATGTTGTTGCAAGTGGCAGGAGTTGTTCTTTTTCGTGGCTGAGTAATGTTCCATGGGTGTGTGTGCGTACACGCCATGTTCTCCTTTTCCATTCATTTGTCAGTGGACACTTATGTTGTTTCCATGTCTTGGCTGCAGTGAACATGGGGCTGCAGATATCTTTTTGAGATAGTGATTTCATTTTCTTCAGCTAAATACCCAGAAATGGAATTGCTGGAGCATATAGTAAGTCTATTTTTAATTTTTGAGGAACCTCCGTACTGTCTTCCATGGTGACTGCAGCAGTTTACATTTCCACCGAGAGTGCACAAGGGTTCCCTTTGCTTCACATCCTTGCCAACGTTTATTATTTAAATCATTTTTATTTTGTAAATATTTTGTGGTTTCCAAAACAACTAAAACTATATCCGAACCACAAAGATGAATGAGTAAGTGCGGTTCTTCTCGCTTGTAAAGTCCCATCTTTACCTTAAAATACATCTTAGCAAATGGAAACGTTTCTTCTCTTTCAGTTTATTATCTAAATGATCATTCTACATGATCAGTTTCTTCATTTATTCGTGATAGATACTCCTGCATAGGTCACAAACAAGCACTTTCAATAAAAGTAGTTAATGTGGTAGTTTTGCCAAATGATCTGAGTTTCTTGTGAGTCGTGGTGAAACCCGAGGTACGCTGAAATCCAAACCGTAGGAGGAGGGTGGGAACAGCCCAGGAGGCGCAGGCGGTTCTGGGGTGCACTGTTCCTGGTGGGCGGGCCGCAGCCTCAGCCCGCCGCCGCCGTCTTGCCCAGACCCCAGGGCGGGTGTGCGTTTTCCCCATGACCCAGTTCACCTTGGTTTGTCTCTGAGGACCAGCAAGGCCGAGGGGCCTGGTTCACTTTGAGGTAAGAAGAGAAACGGCTGAGCGTGGTGAGAGCCGGGTGCACACGCGAGCCCTTCTCGACGGGCCCCACTCTGACCTGGGGGGGCGTGTGGCCGTGGCACCTGGCGGTGCCGCCCACCGCCCCTTCCCCACTCTGCCACATTGACGGCTCATCTGTCTTGTCTCGGCAGCAGCTGCATGTCCAGCCAGACGAAGAACGTGGTCAGCGGCGTCCTCTTCGGCACAGGGCTGTGGGTGGCCCTCATCATCGCCATGCGCTACTCCCTGAAGCTGCTGCTCTCCTACCACGGCTGGGTGTTCCTGCAGCACGGCCGGACGAGCCGCGCCACCAGGCTCTGGATGGTAATTCACCTCGCTCTCGGGTGGAACTGGCCTGGGGGGTTTTCACTGCCTTATCGAGGCACGCTTGGCGTGCACAAAGCCAGAGCTGTTCACCCGGTGCAGCTTGTCGGGGTGGGAGACAGGAGTAACACCGTGCGTCTGAAGTTGGCGGCCAGGGGCGGACAGCCGCCCTTCTGCTCGCTGCTCCCGTCTGATTGCCTCGGATTCCACAGGTCAGTGAGCCCGGGGCGGCATGTGTCTGTGCCTCTGTGTCTTGCTCGTCCCCCTTAGCATAGCTTCGCCTGTGGATGGCGTTTCCTGTTGAAGAAGGACCTCCTGGGACCTCCGTTCCCTGTTGGTGTCCTGGTGGTTGACCTGGGAGTCAACCTCTAATTGCTGGAGAGGAATGACTCACCGTGACTCATAAATTTGGGCCAAAAAGTATTTTTCTTTCATGAGGTCAAAGAGGTCTGAACGTTTTCTGTTAATGTCTGGTAGGTCTGTCATCCAACTTACCGTCAGATGAAAGTGCCGTCTGTCTGCAGCTTTTCTGACTGACTTGAGGTTGGGCCCTAAGTGGTCTCCCTAGCTGACCGGTCTGACCATCTTAGCGCAGAGCAGGCCCACCCTCAGCCTCCATTGTGTCCCACCAGCTGCTTGGCCGGCAGCACGAGTGTCACTCAGTCACCGTGTGTGCGGATGTTTGTCCCACTTTCACCCCGTGGTGGCTCCATCTGCGGGCTGAATGCCGCCCTCTTGGGACTTGCTGTGAGACAAGTGTGGGAGCCACAGTGCCACCCGTGCCCGAGCCCACCGCACACCCATGGGCTCACCCTCTTTCCTAATCAGACTTCCTGCTGTTGTGGAGGTTTCCTGATTACAGAGACCCAAACTTTTAATACCCAGATTCAGAGAAGGATTCCCACACTTTGCAAAGCGAATGTGTGTGATGTTCCTGGGACGGCCTTCGTGGCTGATGGCCAGTTGAGTCCCACACACCAAGAATTACCCCTCCCCCCACACCATGAGCTCTGGAAATTTCTTTGAGGTCAGGTCAGCGTGAGATGACCAGTTATTACACCATGTTTAGATCGTTCTGGACTAACGTAAGGGCTGGTGGTGGGCAAGTGTGTACGTCCGCCAGGCTTGACAGTGACCGACCGGATGGGGCACACCACCCGAGCTGGGGTTGGCCGAGGTCCAGGCTCAGCTCAACCCTTGCCCACTGCTGCCAGAGCCCTGAGCCAATCCCGAAACCAAGGGATGCCTCCTGGACAGGCGGACATCTTGAGGCATCTGTCAGACCTCGGCTTTCATCCTGCCTGGTTTTATTTGGGGTTACCTGTTTGTTTGCTGAGGCCTGCAAATATAGGGGCAGAAAACAGACAGGAGGAGAAACACCACAGAAAATATGTAAATAGCAAGTTGTACACACTTGAGAACTGGAACATAGTCTCATCTTTTAAAATGTACCTTTTTTTTTAAGACTATGGTCAAGATCTTTTCAGGCCGGAAACCCATGTTGTACAGCTTCCAGACGTCTCTGCCGCGCCTGCCTGTCCCAGCCGTCAATTCCATCCCGTTTCTGTGATCTGTTTATATCAACGAACATTTTATTCCTCTCCTAGAGAAATAATAGTATATATGTGTCTTTATTTCTGGTGATGTAGTACTTAGAAATCTAAAATGCAGGTTTACTGAAAGACAAGTTCTTAAATCCAGAAACCCAGGTTCACTTGTCGATTACACTATCAGAAAAAGATGTATAGGTTTAAAGTACAGACTATAGTTAAACTTGAACATAAGATTTGACAGGTTACAGAAAGGTATATGTTTTCAAGCAAAAGTATGTTGCTTTGAAGATAGTTGTCTTTCTGTTTCTTAAATATTTTAAGATGTTACGTTGGTGGGTTCTAAATTTTGGAGATACCTTTGCGTTCTATATATTGGTTGTTTTAGTAATTTGAAGCACACTTAAATCATTTTTTTCTTTTAAAAAAATCTAATTAATGTTTAACGTTGTATTGGTTTTAGGTGTACAACATAATGATTTGGCATATGTATATACTGCAAAATGATTACCACAGTTTAGTTAATGTTCATCACTATATATAGTTATAATTTTTTTCTTCAGATGAGAACTTTTATCATCTACTCTAGTAACAACTTTCAAATTTACAATACAATACTGTTAACTCTAGTCACCATGCTGTGAATTACGTTGCATGACTTAACTTATCTTGTAACTGAAGTTTGTACCTTTTGACCCCCTTCACCCATTTTACCCACTCCCCCACCTCCTTCATCTGGCAACCACCAGTCTGTTTTTTGTATGAGTTCAGATGTTTTTTAGATTCCACATTTAAGTGAGATCATACAGTATTGGTCTTTTTCTGACTTATTTCACTTGGCATAATGCCTTTAAAATCCGTCCATGTTGTTGCAAGTGGCAGGAGTTGTTCTTTTTCGTGGCTGAGTAATGTTCCATGGGTGTGTGTGCGTACACGCCATGTTCTCCTTTTCCATTCATTTGTCAGTGGACACTTATGTTGTTTCCATGTCTTGGCTGCAGTGAACATGGGGCTGCAGATATCTTTTTGAGATAGTGATTTCATTTTCTTCAGCTAAATACCCAGAAATGGAATTGCTGGAGCATATAGTAAGTCTATTTTTAATTTTTGAGGAACCTCCGTACTGTCTTCCATGGTGACTGCAGCAGTTTACATTTCCACCGAGAGTGCACAAGGGTTCCCTTTGCTTCACATCCTTGCCAACGTTTATTATTTAAATCATTTTTATTTTGTAAATATTTTGTGGTTTCCAAAACAACTAAAACTATATCCGAACCACAAAGATGAATGAGTAAGTGCGGTTCTTCTCGCTTGTAAAGTCCCATCTTTACCTTAAAATACATCTTAGCAAATGGAAACGTTTCTTCTCTTTCAGTTTATTATCTAAATGATCATTCTACATGATCAGTTTCTTCATTTATTCGTGATAGATACTCCTGCATAGGTCACAAACAAGCACTTTCAATAAAAGTAGTTAATGTGGTAGTTTTGCCAAATGATCTGAGTTTCTTGTGAGTCGTGGTGAAACCCGAGGTACGCTGAAATCCAAACCGTAGGAGGAGGGTGGGAACAGCCCAGGAGGCGCAGGCGGTTCTGGGGTGCACTGTTCCTGGTGGGCGGGCCGCAGCCTCAGCCCGCCGCCGCCGTCTTGCCCAGACCCCAGGGCGGGTGTGCGTTTTCCCCATGACCCAGTTCACCTTGGTTTGTCTCTGAGGACCAGCAAGGCCGAGGGGCCTGGTTCACTTTGAGGTAAGAAGAGAAACGGCTGAGCGTGGTGAGAGCCGGGTGCACACGTGAGCCCTTCTCGACGGGCCCCACTCTGACCTGGGGGGGCGTGTGGCCGTGGCACCTGGCGGTGCCGCCCACCGCCCCTTCCCCACTCTGCCACATTGACGGCTCATCTGTCTTGTCTCGGCAGCAGCTGCATGTCCAGCCAGACGAAGAACGTGGTCAGCGGCGTCCTCTTCGGCACAGGGCTGTGGGTGGCCCTCATCATCGCCATGCGCTACTCCCTGAAGCTGCTGCTCTCCTACCACGGCTGGGTGTTCCTGCAGCACGGCCGGACGAGCCGCGCCACCAGGCTCTGGATGGTAATTCACCTCGCTCTCGGGTGGAACTGGCCTGGGGGGTTTTCACTGCCTTATCGAGGCACGCTTGGCGTGCACAAAGCCAGAGCTGTTCACCCGGTGCAGCTTGTCGGGGTGGGAGACAGGAGTAACACCGTGCGTCTGAAGTTGGCGGCCAGGGGCGGACAGCCGCCCTTCTGCTCGCTGCTCCCGTCTGATTGCCTCGGATTCCACAGGTCAGTGAGCCCGGGGCGGCATGTGTCTGTGCCTCTGTGTCTTGCTCGTCCCCCTTAGCATAGCTTCGCCTGTGGATGGCGTTTCCTGTTGAAGAAGGACCTCCTGGGACCTCCGTTCCCTGTTGGTGTCCTGGTGGTTGACCTGGGAGTCAACCTCTAATTGCTGGAGAGGAATGACTCACCGTGACTCATAAATTTGGGCCAAAAAGTATTTTTCTTTCATGAGGTCAAAGAGGTCTGAACGTTTTCTGTTAATGTCTGGTAGGTCTGTCATCCAACTTACCGTCAGATGAAAGTGCCGTCTGTCTGCAGCTTTTCTGACTGACTTGAGGTTGGGCCCTAAGTGGTCTCCCTAGCTGACCGGTCTGACCATCTTAGCGCAGAGCAGGCCCACCCTCAGCCTCCATTGTGTCCCACCAGCTGCTTGGCCGGCAGCACGAGTGTCACTCAGTCACCGTGTGTGCGGATGTTTGTCCCACTTTCACCCCGTGGTGGCTCCATCTGCGGGCTGAATGCCGCCCTCTTGGGACTTGCTGTGAGACAAGTGTGGGAGCCACAGTGCCACCCGTGCCCGAGCCCACCGCACACCCATGGGCTCACCCTCTTTCCTAATCAGACTTCCTGCTGTTGTGGAGGTTTCCTGATTACAGAGACCCAAACTTTTAATACCCAGATTCAGAGAAGGATTCCCACACTTTGCAAAGCGAATGTGTGTGATGTTCCTGGGACGGCCTTCGTGGCTGATGGCCAGTTGAGTCCCACACACCAAGAATTACCCCTCCCCCCACACCATGAGCTCTGGAAATTTCTTTGAGGTCAGGTCAGCGTGAGATGACCAGTTATTACACCATGTTTAGATCGTTCTGGACTAACGTAAGGGCTGGTGGTGGGCAAGTGTGTACGTCCGCCAGGCTTGACAGTGACCGACCGGATGGGGCACACCACCCGAGCTGGGGTTGGCCGAGGTCCAGGCTCAGCTCAACCCTTGCCCACTGCTGCCAGAGCCCTGAGCCAATCCCGAAACCAAGGGATGCCTCCTGGACAGGCGGACATCTTGAGGCATCTGTCAGACCTCGGCTTTCATCCTGCCTGGTTTTATTTGGGGTTACCTGTTTGTTTGCTGAGGCCTGCAAATATAGGGGCAGAAAACAGACAGGAGGAGAAACACCACAGAAAATATGTAAATAGCAAGTTGTACACACTTGAGAACTGGAACATAGTCTCATCTTTTAAAATGTACCTTTTTTTTTAAGACTATGGTCAAGATCTTTTCAGGCCGGAAACCCATGTTGTACAGCTTCCAGACGTCTCTGCCGCGCCTGCCTGTCCCAGCCGTCAAAGACACCGTGAACAGGGTGGGTGTGGCTTCAAGCTCGCGGGACTGCCCCGTCCGGACCGCCAGTCGTCTTTGCGATTAAGCTTTGTGACCTGTTGAGTGTCAGTTAATCCATCATCGTGTGGCTGGCTGCTCTCGGCAGTGTGCCTGGTCGGCGTTAGAGGAGATCTTTTTTAGGTGTCTTCTTAGAAGGCCTCTTGATAGTAAAACCCATCCATACGTTGTTTCTAACAGCTTGATTGAGGTACAGTTCATGGGCCATACAATTCAAAATGCCCAATTCAGTGGTTTTGGGTATATTACATTATTAACTGTGCTAAATTTCAGTAAATACATACATAACATAAAATGACCATTTTAATGATCTCTAAGTGTACATTCTGCGGCATGGAGTACGCCCACAGCGCTGTGCACCCACTACCTCTGTGGCTGCAGAACGCTGTTGTCGCCCCGGCTCGCATCCTTGTCAGCCGGTGCTCCCTTCCCCCTCCCCTCAGGCCCCGGCCCCCACCGGCCTGCTTCCTGTCCGCACATTTGCCTGTTCTGGACATTTCACACCTGTGGGATCACACAGTAGGCGGCCTGTTGTGTCCGGCTGCTCACGTAGCGGGCTGTTCAGGATTCAGCTGTGCTGTGTGTGTCAAGGGCCTTGTTCCTTTTATGGCTGAATGATATTCTACTGTATGGATGGACCATGTTCATTCATTCATCAGTTAATGGACGTCTTGAGTTGTTTCCACCTTGGCTGTTAAGAATAGCGCGGCTGTGAACGTTCACATACATGATGTCATTGGAAGACCTGCTTTCGGTCTTTGGGGTACACACCCCGAAGTGGAATTGTGGGGTCCTGGGGTGGTTCTGGGTCTCCCTTGCTGAGGACCCGCAGGCTGGTTTCTGCAGCAGCGGCTCCAGTTTATGTGCCCACCCGCAGCTCCTGAGGCCTCCCATTTTTCCGAGTCCTGTGGTCCCATTTTAAACACTGAGGAAACTCCTGGCATTTGAATCTGGGCCTCGTGTGTTTGGCCCTGTGGGCCCCCCCACTCCTGCGGCCCTGCCAGCTGCACCCCCACGCCTGCAGCGCTCTGCGGGCGCCTTCCCTGCAGGCGGCTGAGCATTCAGTGAGCTCCGCCCGACTTGTGTGGCTCAGTTCGACCTGAGCTTGCTCACACTGCGATTTTCAGTTTCACAGATGAACGTGCTACTTTGACTAAACTAACCCATCTTAACAGCTGGCCCGTTTTTGGGAATGGGCTCTACCTTTAAACCCACGTGGAGGGGCCCCAGTGGTGCCTCTGCCTCCCCAAAGCTGTCTCCATGGCAGATGACGACTTGGCGGATTAAAACATTCCATGACAAACGCAGGGCTTAGTGGCAGCTTTACTCCTGTAAGACTGGCTGCCTGTGTGGCGGGGCCTACCGAGTGCCTTTAAAGCCCCCGCACGTGTGAGCAGCAGTGCTGGTCAAAGCGGGTCCTGAAACTCCCGACCCTGGACCCCTGGCCTGAGCCCCACGGCATGGCCTTCCCCATCCCCAGCATTGTTCTGGCACCCCCTCGCTGCCCTGGGGTCCTGGGCACCTGATGTCCTGGGCATCGTCGCGGTCATTATAGCTTAGAACATAGCAAGTAATGGAAAAAAGGCACTATTGACATCCCGTTAACTAAACAACGATCTTGTCACCTCATGATTTCGTGGTGTTGTGGGGTCTGGGGAGCTCGAACACCAAGAAAGGGCGAGAGAGTTGAGTGACGGCTAACCCGGACCCCAGCTTGGCTAACGTGTGAGGACCAGCACCACGGCACGGGGAGGGTGCTGGGTGTCCTGGGAGGAAGCCGTGCATTCTCACTTGGCCCATGTTCTCCCCTTCGCCCCAGTACCTGGAGTCGGTGAGGCCTCTGATGAAGGAAGCTGACTTTAAGCGTATGACGGCTCTGGCACAAGACTTCGCTGTCAACCTGGGGCCCAGACTGCAGTGGTACCTGAAGTTAAAGTCCTGGTGGGCCACAAACTACGTAAGTGTGGACACACACTGTTGTCCTGGACGTCCTCTTTGTATGACGATGCCGGTCGGGTCCAGGAACCAGCCGGCCTTGCTCGTGCGGCGGGCAGGAGGTGACGCTGGCAGGCGATACAGCGCGAGGAGTCTGGTGTTGAGTTGTGGGAGAGGGAGCATTGAGTATGACCCAGACAACCAGCAGGGGGCTGGAGGTGAGCATTGGGCGGGCAGCAGCTGGAGGGGCGGCTGAGGGGTGCCGTGTTCTGTTGTTGATCCACCTCAGCCACCCACCCGGGTGTGTTGACATCCTCACACGTGGCAGATTGAAGTAAATGCCCCCCTCCCCGGGCCCTGGGTCACCCCTGCTAAGCTGCCCGGTGGCTCTCCCCATTGTGCACCCGACAGGTGAGTGACTGGTGGGAGGAATACATCTACCTCCATGGACGAGGGCCGCTGATGGTCAACAGCAACTACTATGCCATGGTGAGTCCCCCGGGCCCCCGAGCCTTGTGGCGGGCATCCACCCGCCCCGTGGCCGCCTGCAGAAGCTTGGCTTCCACTCCTGCTCCTGCTTCCACTGTCCAAGGCGTTGGGCTGCATCGTGGAGCCCAGGGCCTGCTTTCCACACCAGAGAAGCATGTGGCCACTTCTTTATATTTGTACAGTAGCTCAAGGGCACTGAGCTGGTGCCTGGAAGCTGTGAGGGCAAAATGCCCTTGGCGGACAAGAATTGCCCCCTAGTGTAAGGCGACCTGTGCTTTCACAGAGCCCCACAGCACGAGGGGCTCTCTCCCGGCTTCCCCACCACACTCTGGAACAGAGGACCCACCAAGACCCACCCCCAGCCGACACACGGCTTTGCTCCTCTGTGCCCTGAGATGCCAGGGGGTCACTTGTCATTTTCATGTCTCTCACTTCCCTTGTCTTCTGAGACCTCCATGGTCTGGGAGAGTACACGCCATTTTTTAGAAGCCCTTCAGTTTGGGTTTGAATAACCAGTGTTTAATAACTGGCACTTAATAACTTTGATAATTGGCAAATGTAATTGTCTTTTTCTGTTTTTCACTTCCTTTTACTGGGTCCCTCATTTCCTTATTTCTCTTTATTGTTTGCTTTTTCTTTGTTTCTCTTCTTTAAAAAGTTTCTCTCCTTTTCCTTTTAACTTTTTTCCCCACTGAAAACAATCTCCCACTTGGACAAAAATTGTGCATGAATTTTTTTGTTTGAGAGTAAATGGTCTCCCTGGCATCCTCTCATTGCTGAAGACTTTGTGTTTATTTCCTACGAACAAAGGAGCTATCTCACTCTTTCAGGGGTATGTCATTTCTGCCTGGCTTTTTGTGGCATGATATAAAGATACTTGGGGCAACATACTGTTATCTTTTCTAAATTTGAATTACATTAATTTAATTTTAAGCTATATTCTGTTCTCTTTCAGACCCCAAGAATTACATGGGGGGGGGCTTGCATTCTTTTAACACATGAACAAAATAAAACTGGCAAAGCATAAGAAACGGAATTACAATCCATTTTCTAGCAGACCAGGTGTAATCTAAGACACATGTGAAAATTTTTTGACAGTCTGGAAATGCTCGGCTATGTATTTAAGTCAGCTTAGCTTTTCCTGTGAGTGTTTTCTCTGCTGACACACGGTTCCCCTTTCAGGATTTGCTGTATGTCACACCGACCCACATTCAGGCAGCAAGAGCGGGTAATGCCATCCATGCCATCCTGCTTTATAGACGCCAGCTGGACCGAGAGGAAATCAAACCAGTATGCAAACTGCTTTTTAAAAAAACCTTTTAAAACAGTTTTATGGAGGCATAACTGACATATTGCACATGCACTTAGCCTACAAGTCAGTAAATTCTGAGAGATCGATGGACGCCATCACGACAATTGAGGGAGCAAACACGTCGCCCCCACAAAGCCCCCTCCCATCCTTTGTCCTTTTCCGTGCCCCACCCCCGTCCCTGCCCTGGTCTGCTTTCTAGATTAGCTTGCATTTCCCAGTGCTTCTTGTAAATGAATCGTACGTATGTACTTTTTTTTTCTGCTTTAACGTCTTTCACTCAGCATAATTATTTTGGGATTTGATTCTCCTACATGGATATACACCTGTGCCTTAGTTCTGTGATTTTCCTCTCGAAGAAACACTTGTTTACTTCTGAAGGAAAATAATTTGGCTGGTGATCCACTCACAAGAACAGACATTTCCTTCTTCAACACCCCTTTGGGTTAGGCGTCAGTTTATGAATGACCGACTGGAATGTGTTATTTAGGGTGTCGGGGTGCGGGAAGTTGTGACCTGGCACAGTTCGGCCGGTCCTGCCTTGAGGGACACGTCCCAGTGAGCGACTCTTCTTTCTAGAGTCTGGAAAAGATTTTAAGTCAGACCATGCTGCGCGCGCAGAACAGATCAGCGTGGAATTTGCTTCTTTCTTCTCCCTCTGGGATTTCTGTGTGATGCATACTTTTGTTACAGATTCTACTTTTGGGATCCACAATTCCACTCTGCTCCGCTCAGTGGGAGCGGATGTTCAACACCTGTCGGATCCCAGGAGAGGAAACAGGTGCGTGGAGCGTCCTGGGGCTCCTGTCGGGAGGCAGCCCTTTGGTCCCCATGCCTGGAGTAAAGAGGTCGGAGGGAGGCGACCGAGGCCACTGCACGGATGCTCACTGACCCCGCCTGGGACCTCAGAGATTTCAGGCTTCTGAGTGTTCTTTCTGTCGCATTTCCCTTGTCTTTCTTGCGGCTGGACCGTTGACTTATTTCAGACTTTTATTTCTCTCCAGTTGAAGCCTGACTTACGGGTGTATTTTCCCAGGTTTTTAAGGAATATTCTTGTTTCCCCCCTGGATCCCTCAAGGGTATTGTGCTGCGGCTCATGTGCAGGGTTTAGTGTGTGATACGCGTTGGTTTGTGTTCAGGAAACTGGACTCGTGGTTCAGAAGCTGACCTGACCTGGGACAGCTGGCCCCTCCCACCCCCCAGATTGTAGGGTGGCCACATGACGTGTCCAAGCCAGGACTCTCTCAGGAGTGAAAGGGAGAGACGGCAACACCTCCTGGGACGTCCCAGGCCAGCCAGGGCTCTGGCTATGCTTCCTTCCTGAGAGATGGCCCTGCCGGCCAAAGACACCCATTTTTTGATGGGTGAGCCAGACCCTGTCCAAGATCTCACGGCCAATATCGTAATGAGCCCCCTGCTGCTGTGGAAGCCGACTGCGGAATCCCGAGCTGACGCAGCTTGTGGAGTGGTGCGCAGGGCACAGGAGTCGCTGGACAGCAAAGCCAGCCCCGGGCAGGCCTCCTGGAGCGGGCTCTCGCTTCCCTCTCGTGCCCGCAGGTTCTCTGAGGACGTACCACGTGTGTGCTCTGCTGTCGGTGGGGGGGGGTTCTGGCTGGAAAGCAAACCTCCTCTCTGTTTCTGTCTCACTCCAGTCCAGGGGCCTGTGACCAGACACGTTATGACAAGTGGATGAGTTGGCAAAAAACGGTAGTGGGACAGTAGACTGCCTGTTTGGGAAAAGGGAAGTCGGCCTTCTCTGTCCTCTAGCAGTGTTTGTGAATGATTTTAATGAACTGTGGCACAGCAGTCCCTCCTTCTCTGTGGTCTCGCTTTCCATGGCTCAGTTACTGGTGTAAGCCACGGTCCAGACGCAGGCGATCATTATCAGACACAAGCCTCTTTCCCCCGCCCCTCAGCCCCTGCAGGGACCATTCCACATCTGTCTCTATGGGCTTGAGTGTTACAAGTACCTCCTGTATGTGGACTCACATAGTATTTGTCCTTTTTAGAATGAATGGGCTCACTTCGTTCAGTGTAATGTCCTCAAGGTTCGTCGGTGTTGTAGCATGTGTCCTAATGTCCTTCCGTCTTAAGGCTGAGCGACGTGCCCCTGTTCGGATGGGCCGCATTCGGCTCCTCCATTCATCCATCACGGACACTTGGGTTACTTCCACTTCTTGGCTATTGTGAATCATGCTGCTGTGAACATGGGTGTGTGACTCTCTCACTGGGACCCTGCTTTCAGTTCTTTTGGGTCTGTGCCCAGAGTTGGAATTGCTGGATCACATGGTAGCTCTATATTTTAGTCTTTTGAGGATCCACCATATTTTTTCCCACAGTGGCTGCCCCATTTTACATACCCACTGGTGGTGTACCAGGCTCCAGCTTCTCCGCCTCCTCGCCGACTTGTCTTCTGTTTGTTGTGATAGTAGCCCTCCTCCTGGGTGTGAGGTGGGAGCTCAGGGTGGTTGGATGTGCATTTCCCTAACGCTCAGAGGTGTGGAGCATCTTTTCATGAGCCTCCTTGCCTGCTGGGTCTAGCGCTCACGAGCTCCTTCAGCTTTTGTTTCTGGGAAGGTCTTAATTTTCCCTCACTTTTGAAGGACAGTTTTCCCAGGTACAGGATTTTTGGCTGACGTTTTTTTCTTTAGCTCTTTGAATGTACCAGCACACTGCCTTCCCGCCTCTAAAGTTTCTGATGGGAGCTCTGCCGGCAATCTCACTGACGCATCTGGGGTGCATTCTTATGAGAGCTCTTTCTTTAATTTCCTATTTCTCTCTTAGAACATTTTTTATTGTAATAAGTCAATAAAAAGTTAGTGCACTGACTGCTTCCTTTGTGTGAACGAGGTTGTATGGATGTGGTCCCTCGGTTTTTCTTGTACAGCCTCATGAGGGACACAAGTATCGTCCCCCTTGTTCAAGAGAAAGAAAGGTGGTTGAGCAGAGCTTCGAAGTCAGGCCTGATTCCAGAGTTCTAATTCTGTCCTTCACCCTCTGCAGACTTGAGAAATGGCCTCCTGAGCCAGATGGAATGATGTGGGGTGAGGAATGGGTGCCCTTGGAAAGCAGGGTGATTTCCCAGTGACCTCTAACCCGTGCCTTTGGATTTTGTCGCATCCCATGCCCACCTCAGACACCATCCAGCACCTCCGGGACAGCAAGCACATCGCCGTGCTGCACAAGGGCCGCTACTTCAAGGTCTGGCTGTACCACGACGGCAGGCTGCTGAGGCCCCGGGAAATCGAGCAGCAGATGCAGAGGATCTTGGACGATCCGTCAGAGCCTCAGCCTGGGGAGGCGAAGCTGGCAGCCCTCACTGCAGGAGACAGGTGTGCAGCTGCTCTGCGGCATCAGTTGTCTCGGGGGGCTTGGGGTCACCCATGGTTCTCTTCCTCACCCAGAGGCCCAGCTGGGGAGGAGGCATGCGTCTGCGGCCTGCAGTGGCACTGGGCGGGGCTCAAGCCTTGTCTCGCCTTTGTTCCGAGGGAGCAGGTCGCACCCCTGCCCAGCGGCTCACCTTGGCCACCCGTGCGTGACAGGCAGGCGCGTGTGTGCACAGGTACCAGGGCGCATGATGGACAGGAGGAGGTAGGCTTTATCACAGGGCTGCAGACAGATTTAATTTAGGAAACAGAACAGTTTTAAACCACAGACTCTGCGTTAGGGATAAATTTTCTGCCTTGTCTGAAGATCGTTCAGAGGCTGCTGTTTGCTGGAGGAATCAGCTCACGCAGATAGAGCAGGGTTCCCCCGCTTGGGGCTGGATCGTTCTTTGTTTTGGTGGGGGATGCCGTCCTGGGTGTCGTAGGGTATTGAGTAGCATCCCCGGCTTCTGTCCACTGGGTGCCAGTAGCCACCACCCAGCTGTGACGGGCAGAACTGTCCTGAGACTGTCCAGTGTCACTGGGGGGCAGCATCGTCCCTGCTGAAAATCACCGAGTCACCGTGGCTTGGCAACTCCTCAAACAGCGTTAGAGGCTTGGGAGCGCATGACTCCTGCAAAGGGGAAGATGCCTGGGTGTGGGCACGTGGAGGGCGGCAGGGGTGTCCCACAGCATGCTGGGGCTGCAGAGTGCGGGTGCTAGAACACAAGCAGGGAGGGACCCCCAGGCTGACTCCATCTGCTCTTGTTCCTGTGACCGGGTGCTGTTAAAGGGACCACTTTAGGCTGGAGGGACCTGGACA